TATATGTTCCCTCCGTCCCTAAATAACTGTCTTTTTAAACTTATCGAGAAACAACTTTGATTAAGTATATATATATAATATTAATATTTATGGTACAAAATTAATATCATTAGATAGATTGTTGACTCTATTTCCATAATAAATTTAATTGAAGATACAAATGTTGCACACATTTTCTACAAATTCAGTCAAACTTATGGCACGGAAAACCAAAATCTACAGTTATTCAGGGATAGACAGAGGGAGTATGTGAGGAGATGAAACAAAAAAATAAAGAAACTGTAATTGGGGAAAAAAAAGAGAAGAAGAAAAGCTGCTTGTTTTTGTACGTGAGAATTTAGCAAATGTACAAACTACGCACGTGCATGCTCACGACGTTTGTATTAGAAATGGGTGCCAAACCAGATTCTGGAAGGATAAGTGGGTATACCAGAGCTTTGTGATAAAAAAGATATAACTGTAGACAAGGTTAGGAATGGAGAAATTATCATCACCTTTAGAAGGATGGTTGCCTGAAGATTTAAGGCTTGGTTGGGATCAGATTTGGGGAGATGCTTTATCCTTTCTACTTGAAAGTGAACCTAATAGAATAACTTGGTCATTGGGGAAAAATAACAAGTTCTCTGTTAAGTCCGCGTTTGGCTCTGCTCCTGGCGGCTCCGGCTCCAGCGCTGAATCACTGTTCATCCATACGCATATCACTGTTCATCAAAGCCGTTTTTCTCTCTCCTTCTCTTTTCTTTCAGTGTTATGGTGTGACACGTGGCTGCCGGAGCTAGAAATTCATGTTTGTGGGATAGCTTCATCTGCTGGGCTATTTGGCACCTGCCAAAGCTCGTGGGCTGCCGAAATTATTATCAAAAGTTCCGGACATAGAGCTGTCATAAGGAGTGCCTCATGCAATTGGGCGCCCTAAGTCTGTGTATAATGCAATAACAAGAAATGATGCATGGGGTTTATAACAAGAAAATTTGGAAAGGGAAGATTCCTGCAAAAATTAAAATCTTTATGTGGTTAATGAATAAGGATAATCTTAGTAAACGAAATTGGAAGGATGATCCTACTTGTTGGTTCTGCTGGATTTGTATGGGATTTAAAGAGCTGTGGGAGGTTCTGTTTCTGTTTTGTTAGCTCTGAGACAGAGTTTCAGGTTTATTTGTAGTTTGTTTAGCTGCAGGTCGGTCCGAGGCGGTAAACTCCTCTGTTTCTGTCTGGTATGTTCCAAAACTCTGTATATATTTCCGTTAACCTGTTAATGGAAAGGTCTCGGGTGGGAAAAAAATGTGCTATATATATATAGTATTAAAGAAGGTGATTAGAAGCTAATCATGCATGGCTTCACGTATAGACGTACTGTCACCGATATTCAGTAGTTCACGTGGAAGTGAACGGCGACCTGACTGATCCGTTCCCAAGCTCCAAACAGCCTTGGACAGCACATGAATGCCTGGACCCAGCGTCAGCGATGCATGGCTGGCGTACGACGATTCCATAGCACATCTGAGATGAGAATGCATCGACACGCCTCTTCTTCTTTCCGTTCCGGCCTCTATAGCACATCAGATAAAGCCGAGCCACGAAGAGCTGTTAGGCCGTCGTAACAACCAGCCGCCGCCACAGCCCGCCGACCTCTACGTCGCCACCGCCCGTCTGCAGCTGCAGGCTGCTCGACGCGACGACAGGACGCAGCGCCGCCGCGACATCTTGGCCAAGCCTGGGGCTCTGCCTGTTTCTGTGCTAGCTGACACGGCCATGCCGATGAGGCAGGGGGCCTCGTGGGAACGCTTTCCTCTCTCTCGCCACACTCTCGGCTCTCCTCCTCGCGGACGTCGGTCAGCAGGCGCGTCGTTCACGCATCCCCGACCACGGACTTTGCCGCCTGCAAGCCGTCTGGTCGCCCAACCGGGGCATCATCGCAACGACCTTGACGATCGAGCCGCCTACAACACGGCCGCCGACACCGCGCCGGGACAGCCCCGTCGCACCCAAGGCCGTCGATCGCGGCCACACCTCGTCACAGAACCAACCCCTCCCGGCTCCACGCGATCTCCCTGCTGCAACTGCAAGCCCCTCCGGTGAGCTGCAATCTCCTTATTGATTCCACGAAGCCTCCTTTTCCGTCGTTGCCGTCTCGTGGAGATCGGCCTGCCCACGCGCCGCCTTCTGCGTGCGCGGCCACCAGCAGTGGAGGATCCACGACGCAAGCTCCGCTGCAACATGCGTTCAAACTTGAATTATCATGTTATTATTTTTTCCGTTGCAACGCACGGGCATCCAGTTTCTATATGTATTGGGTTCCATTGTAACGCACGGGCACGTTATTTGGTAGTTCTATTTATATATATATGGATGGGTGGACGGCGTTCAGACTCTCCAAGGCCGGCAGCTTGCTCGTAGTCGTAGCCAATGATAAAAGAGAGAAGAACAACGCTATCGATTTTTGATGAGCCTGTCTCACACGCCTCCCAATTCCCAAAACGTTGTGCGTCTCTTGCTGATGTGGACGCCGTTGGGGACGGAACTGATGTCCACGTACGTGGCGGAGGACACGTAATGGCGCATCGACGACGAGCTTAAAAAATAAATTCTCCGTCGTCCTTCGTCGAATCGTAGCAATAATGTGGCCACGGACCTGCGTCAGCTGGAGATAAATTTGTATTCGATAAAGAAAGTAAACGCATACATTACCGACTTGTTTCAATGTGGACAAAGGCCACAACAGGACCTGCGTCAGGTGAAGATAAATTTATATTCGATAATTCAGAAAGTCAGCATGCACATTAGCATCAACAATCTCATGCCGATCGATGGTCCTATATATGCAGCAGATTGCAGTGCAGTCAAACCTTCGAGAAAAGACGGAGTTTAGTCACTCGAATGTGATTGGGCTGGCCAAAATCACATGAGTTTACAAACAGTACTATCTAACAAATCGTGTATTATTGATACCTTCTCTCACTTGCGAATACTAACAAATCGTGTATTATTGGTAACTTTCGTCACTTGCAAATACTAACAGTGCCTCCAGCTTCTTGGACTGTGGAATTGTTAGTGGTCCGGTTGCTTGCATCGCTTGTACATTTTTAGTGCCAGCTGGCAGAATAATGTGAGTACCGATGGCCAGCAGCAAGCAACAGTCAAGTGATGGTGGCAAGGTTTTTTAGTTTTCTTTTTTAGGCGCTGAGCGCTGTGTAACGAATCATCGAATACTAAGTAAGTAATGAACTGAATCCCCTATCCTCTGTTCTTCCCCTCCCCGCTCCTGCTCTCTTCTTCTTCTTCCTCCCCCACGCCTACTGCTAAGCAGGTCTTTGCATGGCGTGGCATGAAATCAGCCATGAAGACGTTTGTTTCTGAATGTCAAATTTGTCAACAGGCAAAACCTGATCGTTCTCGTCTGCCAGGGCTTTTGCAGCCGCTGGAAGTGCCTGACAGAGTGTGCAAGGTCATCTCAATGGACGTCGTGGAAGGATTGCCGATGTCTGGAAGATTCAACTGCATATTAGTGATTGTTGATACCTTTTCCAAGTATGGACACTTCGTGGGACTCCGGCATTCGTTCACAGCTACGTCAGTGGCGACTGTATTCGTGCAACACATCTATTGCCTACACGGTATTTGTCTCTGAGCGTGATCGTGTTTTTGCCGGTCAACATTCCTGCAGGCTTCTTTGTTGAGTATTTCTTCTTCTTCCTTCTGCCACCGAAGAATAAAGAAAACTGATCTGAATCTTCCGAACTTAATACCGGTAACTGGCTTGAGGGGCAGACTTATTCTCGATAGTCCTTCATCGTGGTCAGATGTAACCACAACAAAACGAAGAAGAAACCGGAGAAAATTATTCCATGGCGGCAACATCATCTCCGCCTTGATGTCACCGTTCGGAAACCTAAGTCTCCATGTTGTCCTACGAGGAAGTTGCTAACGTCGTAGTTTTCACTCTCATCTTCATCAGAGTCGTCAGGGAGAAACCAAATCCGCCCTACTCCCTCGTCGTTGCCGGGAAGGAGGAGGAGGAGACAAATCCCCAATACCAAAAAAAACTTGGCATGGATAGACCCTAACCATAAAGGACTCGATCTACTGGAAAACTTATTAGAGAGATGGATCCCCACTCTATCCGGCCTCCGGTGAGTTGCTAGAGGAGGAAGGTAGGGGGACCAGCGGTGGTGGAGGCGGGGGACGGCGGCGGCGGCGGCCTTGGTTGTGCCCTAGGGCTGCGTTTTAAGGTATAACTCCTTGTGATTTGTACTATAGAGCGTCATTGGATTTGCCATTCAATGGTTGGAAAAAGAGTGACGAAACCCTCAAGTGAAGGTGTTTGATAGACTGATCATCATGATGTTTTATGGTAGACGTGTATCCTATACTTTGGTAATCCGACAAGTTTATAGACCATACAAGTTAAGTGGCCAAAATATCAACATTCAAGAATTATGAACCTATGTCTGAATGATTGTCATACAAATTCAGGGACACAAATATCAAAATTCGAGAACTGTTAGGGGCCGTTTGGATTCTTTCATTTTAAAGGAATTGGAACCTCCTTAATGGATTAGGCTATTTGGTTTAGAATCTGACATTCCACAACTATAATTCTCCCTTGTATGGCTATCTCAAATTCATAGTGTGGGAGATGAAATTTGATTTTATAATCACCATGCTATGCTTCTACTCTACAACTATAATTTTCTCCCTTGTATGGATAATAATAGTATTCAAATATATTACATATATAACCATATTAGCTTATCTATACCTAAATTATTAGAGTGAATTTTACTCTTTTCTACAATAACGGCGGTTTCTAGCCGCCAACACAAGGCTTTCGTTTCCCTGTCTGCCAAGAATTCATTACAAGACGAGAAGAAATGGACCTTGAACAGGACCGGATTCTTATCTCAGGAATGTACACTAGAATCGATCGATCGAGAGACACGCACTATCACTTGTTGTCATCACGACCATGATTATTCACACACTCATCGTTCGTCACGGAACTAATAGTACCCACCGACTTGGTTGTACGCCATGGGCATCCCATACCCACAGGGCACGGCCATGGCGGCGTTCGACGCGAACACGCTGCCGCCGGCGAGGCCGTTGAACCCAGCCGGCTGCCCCTGCATGCCGCCCTGCCGGTACTGCGCCCACATCTGCTGCTCCTGCACCAGCAGCTGCTGCTTCCGCTCCATCTCCGCCATCTGCACGTACGACGGCGGCGGCACCGCCAGCGACGCCGCGAACGGGTCGCCCCCGGCCACCTGACGCACCGTGCTGCCGTCGGGGCCCGGAAGCATCAGCACCGCAGCCACCTGACGCCCCAAGGGCAGCAGCGCCACGCTGCTCGCGCTCCCCGACGCGGCCTGCGCGGCCACCTGCTGCGTCACGGAGCCATGGTCGTACATCCCGCCCAGCAGCAGCGTGTCCATCCCGCCGCCCAGCGACGCCGCCTGTTTGGAGAGATTGCTCGCCGTCTCCACCAGCGCCAACTCCCAGTCCGCCTTCCCGGGCTCCGCCGCCGGCGTCTGCCACGCCGAGGTCACCGCTGGCTCTGGGGCGGCGGCGTCAGCGTCGGATTCAGACGGGAACGTGACCCAGGTGCTGTTCGTGGCCGGCGGCGCGGAGAAGAGCGCGAGCGCCAGCTTGTTGCCCTGCTCGTCCGCGGTGGCAGCTGGCTCTCTCAGGTCCACCAGAACGCTCTGATCGGCCTCGTTCGTCGGCACCACAATCGGTCGGGCGCGCTCAGCGCCGCTGGAACGCTCCGGCGCCGGGAGCGCCTTGATGCCGTTCATGTCGTCGACGTGGTCGACGTCGTCGCCTTGCGCGTTGACAGCAGACTCGCGAGCCGATCGTGGCGGCGAGGCGCGTCCCGCCCGGCCGCGCTGCCTCAGGAACTGCTCCATGGTCTCGAGGAGCTTGTCGTCGACGCGCCTGACGTCGGGGATGTCGGACGAGCGCGCGACGCCGGCGTGGTCGCACCAGGCGTAGAAGGCGCGGAGCGCGTCGATCTGCTTGGCGGTGCCGACGTAGGTCTCGAAGGCCTTGACGCACTCGGGGTAGTCCATGTCGAAGAAGCGGTCGAGGAGGAGCGCGAGGACGAGCGCGACGTCCTCGTAGACTCTGAAGCTGTCCCTGAGCAGCGGGTGGAGCGCGGCGCGCACGACGCGGCTGGCCCCGGCGGAGCCCGCGGGGCGGCACGCGAGGAGGCGGTCCAGCAGGTGCCGCAGGTGGCGCGCGCGGCCCAGGAGCGCCTCCGTGTCCATGTCGGCCGCCGCCGCCGCCGTGTGCGGTGGTCCCCTGACGCGGTCGTCGGCGAAGCGCGGCGCGGGGAGGAGCAGGACGAGGAAGCGGACGCGGTCGAGGAGGTAGGTGGTGTAGGCGCGGACGAAGGCGGAGTGGTCCCACGACGCCGTGTGCGCCTCGTCGCGGAAGTCGAGGAGCAGCGCGAGCACGGGCTCCCCCGCGCGGCGGCCGGTGAGGGTGGGGCGGAGCAGCTCGTGGAGGAACCGCGTGCGGCCCTCTCCGTCGGCGTCCTCGGCAGGGTCGGGGTCGGGGTCGGCGTCGGCGGCGGCGAGGCGGTGCAGGAGCGCGAGGCACTTGGCGGCGACGACGTAGTCGCGGGTCCTGGAGAGGCGGCGGGCGATGGAGGCGACGCAGGCGGGCGCCGCGCCCGTGGCGGACGCGAGGCGGAGCACCTCCCGCGCGTGGCGGTCGTCCGGGGTCGCGTCGTCGTGGGAGGTGGCGCGCACGATGGCCACGTCGAGGTCCGGCGCCACGGCGCCCGTCACCCGCGCGATGCCGATGGTCGCCTGGTCCTTGACTGCGCCCAGCGCCTTGCGGATGGACATGGCAGCGGCCGGGCCGGGCGCCGGCCTGCTGCTGCTTCCGGTGCTCCTCCTGTTGGGGTCTTGGGGATGAGGGGAATGGGAGAAACCGAAACGAAGCGGAAGAACAAGACGAGGACCACACCACGCGGTTTGCGCACCAGACGACGAACGGAAAGCTGGGACGACGGCACGGATGGCCGGGAGATGGACGGCTCCGATTGGGTTGGAGACCCGGCGCGACAGGCCGGCCTCCAGACGCTCGAGATGCTGACACAGGGTCCCACCATTACATCAGCGACACGCCACGACGACAGAGATGGCCACCGGAATTTTCGAGGAAACGGAAACGGAAACGGTGCGATGCGATGCGCGTTTCGCTTCGTGGGAAAGAAGCTGACCCGGTGCCTTGGCGGAGAAGGACCCAACAAGCCCACCATTCCAGCCGGCTGCTACCGTGACTTTCCTTATTTGAAAAAAATAATATCCGTAACTTTTCGTTTTTGCAAAGTAACTGAGGCCTAGATCACCTCCAAATTCTAAGTTTTTTCACTTTCTCTCTATCACATTAATTTTTTAACGTATGCATGGAGTATTAAATGTAGATAAAAAAATAACTAATTACACAGTTTGGTTGTAAATCATGAGATGGATCTTTTGAGTCTAGTTAGTCCATGATCGGACAAAGTTTGTCAAATACAAACGAAACGTGCTAAAGTGTCCAGATTGCAAAAATTTACAATCTAAACAAGGCCTGAGTTATACATGTATGTTATGGGGCATAACTTATTTTTATAACTTATACTGACAACTTTGACAATATAATATTTTGCAGAACAAAACTTATCACCATAATTTTTTTATCATAACTTTTTTGATACATTTTTTTACATAATTTAATAGACAAACAAGTTATACTACATATGTTATGATATTAATTTGTACATCTAAGTTCTTAATATAACTTATGCATCCAACTTTACATCTAAGTCATTTATCAAGTTATATATCTAAGTTATATAAATAAGTTATACATAAAAGTATTGTGTATGATTTTTGTAGCTTTTTAAGAAATTATGTTGATAAGTTTGCTTTTGTAAATAACTTTTGTCACGTAGTAAGTTATATGTATAAGTTATGAAAGTAACTTTATCACCTTAAAGGTATACGTTGAAGTCGTATAAGTTTTACGAAGTTTGTTCCACAAGTTACACGTAAAAGTTATGCGTATAACTTTGTAACTTTCTAAAAAAAAGAAAGTTACAGAATTTTTTTTGCCAAAAATGGTAAGTCGCTGGGCTGTCTGATCGTTCGCCAGATTTGAACCTAGTGAACGTTCACTATTTAGTGGAACCGCCCAAGAAGACTTGTCCTATTCCCTTCTTATTACCATAAATAATACTATAATACTGTATAAAAATATAATTCGATTTACAACATGTTATTTCAAATATTTTTATTGTGCTCTAATGAATTATGGGCAGGTCTATATGTACGACTATATTCTGAAGAGAAAAAGAAGATGATTGCTGGATAGATTGTCACGCTGAATTACGGTGGTCTCTTCTTGACATCAAACGAACAAATTAACCTACATATCTCTTAACATCAGTTGCCGAGTCAACCTGGAAAGTTCCGTGGAAAGAAAAAAAAACAAAAATTAAACCATGCAGGGAGCCAATTCCAAGGAATCAATCAATATATAAAGCACAGGGCTAGTACCATCTTCGTTTTGAGGTCAAAAGTCCATGCATGAGCATGACGACGACGACCCTGCAATGAATCCTTCCGTTTCCGTCCCTCTCAACTCAAGCATGCGTCCGCGCCGTCTAGTTTGGTTTGCTCCTGATGCTACGTTTAGAGCATCTCCAAGAGTTTGTCAAATTTTACTTGGCTGATTTGCCAACTCTCAAAATTATATGCCAAATAAAAAAACAATCCATCTCCAAGAGTTTGGCATTTTTGACTTGGTAAAATAAAAAAACCCGTTAACAAAACGAAGAGGCCCGTTAAACGAACGAAGAGCCCCGCTAAGTGAACGAAGAGCCCCGCTAAGAAACGAAGAGCCCCCAATGCCAAGCCGTATACGCGCGCGTATATTTGCGCGCGCGGAGGGAAGATTTACCAAGTTGCTATTGATGCTAAGTTGTTTTGCTAAACTGTTGGAGGCTATTTTTTCTTGTTTTGCCAAAATTATATGGATGCCAAGTTGAGATAGCAAACTCTTGGAGATGCTCTTACGTGCATAGAAGTAACATTTTTTTTCGTTCGTAAAAAAAAATAAGTACTACATTTTTTTCCCCAATTACTTTATGCTACAAACAAAAACGTTCACAAACAAATGCGCATCTTTTACCCCTTATGATGAACACACGAACCTTCACAAATTTGAACATGCAGATCTCGAGATTGACAGGCACTGACGACGGACACACGACGACATATCAATGAAAGAAATATTGTTATCAAATTCTGAAATGGATCTAGAAAAAGAAACTAGGACACGTGTCAATTCAGATAGACAAATTCCACCATAAGAGAACTAATATAACTAAAAAAATGTACCACACTCAGTTAAGTAAGGATGGCAACGGATCGGGTTTGGGGCGGATATCCGCGGGTTTGGGTTTGGGGATGGTTTTTCACCCACGGTTTTCGGGTTCGGGGCCCCGAAACCAATCAGGTTCGGTTTTGGGTTTGGTTTTCCACCCGTGGATATCCAATGAATATCCGAAATAAATCATTTGGAATTAAAACTCATGTTTTATAATATACTAATAATAATTTGTTTACTTAGATTATTAAATTTATTTAAAGTTGACTCATGAAAATATTTATTATTTGTTGCCTCTTGTTTATACATGTGAATATGTGTATATATATCCGTGGATTTCGGGTATCCATTCGGGTTTTGGGTATCCGCGGGTTTGGTTTTGGTGATGGATTTCCACCCGAATCGGTTTTCGGGACGGATTCAGGTTTCGATTTCGGGTTTCGGTTTTGAGTGCACGGAGACTCCACCCGATCCGAACCCGACCTGTTGCCATCCTTACAGTTAAGCATGGGAGGCTAATCAAGACCTTTTGCTACTCCATTGAATAACTAAACGTACATGACCATATATAGCGTCAAGTGCTTGATTTAGTTCTCGCAAAAAAAAAAGTGCTTGATTTAGTTAAGCTGTAGTATGCTTCTACTTAAATTTCTGTTAGATGCATGTGTGATAGAAGATGTGTCAAAGTGTTGGGTGCGCAACAGTGTATCGACAGTAATAATGCAGCAGCTGTAAAGAAAGACCACGTCGACGAAAAATAATTTCTTCCCGCGAAGAAAAAAAAATGGTACAGCTGAAAAAGGCATGGGCTCAATCTTTAAAGCTGGCAGCCTAAGGCCCACGTAACCTAGCCCACCAGCAACACTGCCTATCCATTAGTGTAGAACCCAATGTGGGTAAGAAATCGGGCTCAAACTCTCCGCTATTTAGAGCCCACTTCCCGTCTCAACAACCATCTTCTTCCTAGCAGTTGACTGTTAATTAGTTACCCGTTCGGCCGTTCAAATTAACTAACCCAGCACTAGCATGTACGGTCAAATTACAACCTTTCTTCTCCTTTGGGGTCTAGCTACTTTGGGCCGTGACAATGATTGCATGTTCTGGCGTAGCTAGCAAGATTGAAATTAGAATAAAATTTTCCTTGGGCCGCTGGATGAAGATTTTTTTGAGAGCAATGGCAGGTGCTCAGCCTTTCAATTAAGTAGAGGGTTGAAGCATGTACATTAATTAGTTAGGTGTCATGACCCAACCATGGAAGGAAATTAAAAAGGAAAGTATAACAACAAACGCTGGAAAGGAAGTCAAAGAGAAAAATCAATCAATGTCGGCTAAATGTCTAATATCTCCATTGCCTATTAATTATTTGATCCGTCGTTAGTAGTTTTCTCTGCAGTAGTAGCTAGAGGAAGAACTTGCATTTATTTTCCACCTTTGTTTTCCAAATATTTTCCCACCTATATATAGTCCTGCATAGACCCTTTGAATTGAATCATGTATTCTGATCTTGAGGAGTAACGGCCTTCTGCCGAGAAACATCATCGTATTTGGTCCAGCTGTGAAGTTAGTTGGATTTCTCTTATTTGCTGCCACAAATCAACAAACTGTCTGATATGTGCACCGGTTGTTATTCGCCTAAGCCCGTGCATCCAGGGTTTTTTTTTTGTTCAGGGCAACTGTGGCTGTTTCATTCTTGCGCCATGCTATTGGGTAGCATAAAGGTGCAATGTCTCTTGGTGCCGATCCGTTCAGCCATTGATCGTGCCAAAATTTGTTTTTCCCATTGCCAACTGTTATCTGTGTGCAAGCTCGAAAGAGGTCTTGTTCTATTTTGGAGGATGTAATATGCACCCTGCCCATGCATGGTTTGTTGCCATTAGTCCACATGCATGTACCACATCCACCTCAGCCGCAGAGCACGGCCGAAATTATTCAGATCCTGTATTCTGAGGCTGCCCAATTTTTTTCGGTCAGCATATGAAACTTCATATAGCGCCTAGGATCCGCGCAAGGAGATTGCTTCGCCTACTGTTTACTTATTGTTCACTAATTGAACGCCGCCACGTTTTCGCGTGCTCCCAGCGCACTCTCTACTGTTCACGAATCCTGTGCAGCCACGTGGGGTCGTGCGTGTGTGAGCGTCGATTTCGCGCGACGAGACCGCTCGGCGGTGAGACCATCCGCGTGGCCACTGCGAGTGGCGTTTTGACGTCTGGCAGTTTTTATCGTCTACCGGCAGTTGCTTTCACTGGCTTATCCAGTTCTGTGTACGCCGCTCCGTACATATCCTGTCGTCCGCCCACGCGGTTGGTTTACGCACGCCGGGACTGGGACAGTGGGACCACCAGTCCGCCATAAACAAATCGACCAGCTCATACTTCTCCACGTCCTCATCTCTCCCTCGTTCCCTTCGTCACCTCTTCCTCGCTCCCTCCGTCGCCTCGCCCTAGATCCGCGCCAACGCCACCCGCCT